GAAAAAAAAAAAAAAAATTGGCAAACATTTACGATGTTTAAATATGAAGAGTGCTCATACCAAAAATACCACCTGAAAATTAAAACTACGTTTTATTTTTCATGTTTAAAAATTTTAGTTTTAATATTAACGGCTCTAAACTTTACGCAACTAAAAAGGCTTTAGTCACGTGACGATCAATCTTTTGCATGAGCAACTTAACTTTGTATACAAAAACGTTTGAGATCCGTAAAAGTTATTCTTAAGCTTTCTGATACCTCGTACTTCACAGGATTGGTTTACTTTTGTTAAACATCCACTTGTATCGTAAGGCGTTGGATATTCTACCCGTGAAACTTTCGTCACGTCCAAAGTGTGGTCAAAGTCATTGGAGGAACAAAGAAAAACTAATAAAAGCGAAAGGCGACCGATAAAGTACACGAGATACTGGCGGAGGGATAAAATCTTTCGAGGCCAGATGAAGGCGCTTGTAATCCTTCTCGGGAGGACGACGGACAGTGAATACGTAACGCATGGAACAAGACAAGGGACCAATCATTTTTAGCGCTCGCAAACGCACTAAGAAGAAAAAAAGAAGCTAAGTATTACCTACGACCAAACTCTGAACTTTTCTTGCTATGGCGTTAGAATTTCGAAGAAATCCGTATTCCTCTTTTGTCTTGCGTAAAGGTCCCATGTAGTACACAAACACATTTTTATATACACATTTGTCCGTACTATTACAACGAAATGTTTGTAAGTGATACAGTTGTGACTTAACTAAATTAGCGTCTCTTTTGCGTAAAAAAAAAAAAAAAAAAAAAAAATGTAAGCAATATTTTTCAGAAAATGTTGTACGAGGAAAAGTAAAAAAATTAAAGTTGGTCGCTAACGGTTTATTTCATAAAGTAAAAAAAGGATTTACACTCGCACGAAGAAAATATTTGACTTTTCAATTTTAAACGTAAGGTGTACTAAAATTATACAATCATAATTTGATTTTCTATACGTTTTATTTTCATTATGATCAGTCCTATAAAAATATTCCTAGTTATTGTGCCGTCAACATCTACAGTGTTTTGTCTCACAAGCTTAATGATCTTTGGTGGTGTGAGTGCACCGTCTTTCACAGTATTGTAAAGCAGCCCTTAATGCTAACATTGATGTATTTTATGATTAACATTTGTACAAATGCGCACGTATCAATATTTCTTATAAAAAAATAAATTATTTTTGTTTTTTCAACAATAATAAGTTAGCCACGTAATTACAATGAGCCTTAGGCTTTTACTAAGGGCTTGCGAATTTTTTTACTATGCAAGTTATTGGAGATACAAATCCAACATCAATTTTAAAATGTATTTGTAAATATGCAAGTCATTGTAGTAATTATAGCAGTAAATCAATAAAATCGTAAAAATAACTATAATTGTTGATGATGATAATAATATGAACAATAATATTAATCGGACTACTGTATAACAGCCAACTTGATATATTTCTGATGCAGTTAGTTTCCAATTTTCTGTACCAAATTAATATACTTCTATTGGAAATAGAAATATATCTTACAGTAAGTAGTTCTGCCAACCCTCGGTCTTTTTCTTCAACACATGTATACATATAGGTACTTCTACATCCCTCCCTGGTGGCCCCAAAGCAATCCGAAAAAGGAAGCCAGGAAAGAACAAGAGGAAGTTAACAAAAAAGGGTCGGAAGGAAGCTCAGTAGCAGTAGTAGGTATAGAGACTACAGGGACCGTGTATAGGTAGTGGAGGTTCAGCGCGGACGTGAAACCGCAGAGCGAGCAATTCAATTAAACGCGGGAATTGCCGGCAGCGGCGAAAAGTGTGTTAAGGGGCTTGTTTAGGACAGTGACGGTCCGCCCGCCTTTCGACCTTATCTTCGCCGGGAGTGGTCCCCAGTGACGAAAAGTGGATCGAAAAATCCTCAGCTCTGCGCGTATACATGTATAAGTGAATACAAAAAGATGATAGATTTTATATTCAATATAAGATAATGAAAATTTTTGTTTCGTTGAAGTAATAAATAAATGAAAATATCTGAGAGAATGAATTTTGGCCTGCTTTGAATTTTACTCAGACATTTTATAAAAATAAAAAAACAATCTTTCAGTAACATCAGATTATTTGGGCATTTTACGAATTTTCATCGAAATTGATAAGACTTAATAAATTAGTAACTTTTTGGCCAATCATTTTCTGACTGTAAGTAATTCAAGGACCAA